GAATAACTCTTTCCTATAAAATCAGTATTCTTTGAAGATTTTACTGATTGATTCCTATTAAATGTCCTGTTAAAATCAATGTGTGCTGAAATTTTATTTGTTTCTTTATTTGTGACCTTAACTGATCATACTTACCTTAATTAGTTATCAGTATGGTTTTGGGATTTCAACTGACTCCCTACTTGGAATGTTTTTGAGTCCTTACCTTAATTGGACCCCCTGTTGTGACCGTTAATTGCTTGCCCCCCCCCCCCTAATTAAGGGGTCTATTCCGGACTCCTCTATGGGAATTGATTCTGTGACTGATTAATTACTCCTAATTGATTGAACTGTGATTCTTTTACCTTATTTGGATTCACCCCTTAAGTGTTACTCCCTCCATTTCATATTAAATGAGGTAGTTTGACTCGGCACGGAGTTTAAGGGAAAAAAGAAAGAATTTTGAAATTTGTGGTCTTAAAAGCTTAAGGGGTAAAGCTTTGTGGGGCCATGACTTTTGTGTGGTTATAAAAGCTTCTCATTAAGGGTAAAATGGGTAAAATGAGGAGTTTAAAGTTGAATTATTTCCAAATTTAGAAATGTGCCATTTATTTTGGAGCAGACTAAAAAGGAAAGTACCTCATTTAATATGAAACGGAGGGAGTATATAAACTCTCTTATTTTTACATCTAGACGAACAATAGTTCAGAATACATGCACACATATTCAAACACTCTCTCTTACTTTGCTACTTGTGTTGATTGTTGGCCTAGCCAACTGAAAGCCAAGGCTAGACAGTGGATTTGCACCTGCTTATTTCATATTCTGCATTTTTCTTCTTTTACTGGTATATCTCTAGTTAAATTCTGAAACTCAACCTTATGTGATCTATGTCTATACACCCATGTTTGTTCCTGCATTAGTCACTCAACTTGTTTCTCTGTTTGTTGTTATTAAGCATGTCTAAGTTATGCCTTATATATAATCAGCATGTCTAATTTCACTTAGTTCTTTGATACCTGCCTAGCATGTTTACTTGGATCCTTTACCCCCTCTCTTTTAATGGGTATGACTATGTAACTACTTAGTTTTCTAGTGCATTTCAATTAGTCCTGATTGTATGTCCCATGTTGTTCAACACCTCTGCTTCTTCAACATGATCCTGCTACATCCCTTATCTATGTCTTAACTGACTAGTACCATGATTGACCTGATTCAATAGACTCTTAGTGGTTCTGTATAGTTGCTGTTTCAAATGCTTCTCTATTTATGTGGTTTCAGACCTATATGTTCACAATCCCCTTCAGCCCAGTTTGTAAGTTTACTTGTTGTGTGAATCTGAGTACTCTATGACCAATTAGGTTGTTTTTTGAGCATGCTTTCTTCAAGGTGATTTCAAAACTACTGCTTTTACTCCTAGTATTCTTCTCAAAAACCGGCCACTCCCAGTATCTTTTTTTTTTTAAAAAAAAAAAGAAAGTTGTTTCTGGATCTCTTTTACTTCTCATTGTTTTACTGAGTCTTTCAAAATTGTGTCAAGCACTCTCACCCTACTCTTAGACTATTAAGTTCTGCCCCTCTGGTGTGTGTACTGCTTAGGGATCCCTGAGATCTCTCTAAACTTTGGCATACCAGGGCTGGCCCTTCCACACTGCATAGCACCAATCCCTATCTGAGAAAGGTCTTGGTGTAAGCACTGCCGGGGATCCTTGAGGTCCTTAGGGAACTCCGACACACCAAGACACGCTATTAGCTGTGAGATATTTGGCTTCTGAGACTGTATTGAAGGCCTGGCATCCCCAGGTTTATTTTGGGCCCGATTTAGGCTCCCTATAGTATAGTTTCATTTACTTATGTACTTTATTTGATCCTGGTCTGTAATAATATTCTTTGTAATAGATATTTGGGGTAATTAATAAAAAGGGAGGGTTCATATACGGTTTTTGTGGGGAAACCGGTTAGAAATCATGCTTTAGGTTTACATTATGTTTACATTCTGCAATAGATATCATGCCACTAGGTTTTCTATACCTATTTGTATTAAAGAAACCATGCCACAAACCTGTGCACTAGATATCCTGCCTTAGGATAATCATGTTTACTGCTTCGCATATCGGGAAACATGTTATAGTCATCATTTTATTTCTGATTTGCCTAAAGTCATAATCACCTAGGAACTCTATAATCAAACTACTGTTATGATCATGCTTAATAAAATGACCATCTCTCTCTGTGCATTAGAAATCCTAATTTAGGACTCTGTTTGCATTGGCTCTAATCATGTCTACGTCGCTTAAATGAATAACCGTCTATAAAAGGTTTAAGAGTAGTCCAACACATAGTTATCATGTTCTAGTATAAATATGCGTGAAATCAGTTCTGTATCAGTAATCGCCTAGATCAGTATGCCTATAGGATTGAATGACTTCAAGTTGTTTCAACTAGTTCTCAGAATTATGATTGCATACAAACCCACGCCTAGGATAGCCTTAGGTAATTAATTGTCTTATAACTGTGATGTTCATCTAGATATCATGTTCTAAAGCTTTCTAAATTTCTTCAAAATTAGTTGTTAGAGACGTGCTACGTATCTGTTTATGTGTGGAGGTAAAATATGAACCCCTAATTGCTTTCCTATTTGACAGTCCTATGTGTTCTTTGTTGGCGCTTAGATTTTACCTTTTGAATACCTTAGAAGTGTCTAGAACTGCCTAAGTATAGAGGTCCTAAACACCTCCGGGACCACAAGGAAGGGACGGGTAAAGCACGCTTAGAGTTCGTTAATTAAACTTGCTTATATAACCACTAAGGGGAGGGTAATGGGTAGTAAAAGGATATGATGACCTGTGCGCTAATGCCACGTGTAACCCCTCTATTTGAGGAAGGCTTACCAGGTATTGTACAAATGTGATCCTATAGGCTAACCAACTTAGGACTTCCCTTCCTTAATTTATATATGCTCGGACTGTTCAAACTTTATTAATTTAAGTATGCATGCTTAGACTGTCTAAAATTTACATATGTACTCTTGGACCATCTTATCTTCCTTGATTATATATGTGTGCTTAGACTGTGTAAACTTCCTTTATTTGCAAATGTGTGCCTAGACTACTTACCTGTTAAATGACTAATTCACATAACTAAGTTCGGTCGGGACCCACCGTTGTGGACCGCGAGGGGTGCCTAACACCTTCCCCTCAAGGTTATTTCGAGCCCTTACCCTAATCTCTGGTAATGCAAACTGGTTACATTAGTTAATCGCTCTAGTTGCCCTAAAACACCTTAATCCATTAGGTGACGACTCTTAAAATACCCAATTCCCAAAAGGAAGCGAGTTGTTCCCCCGTGAATGTCGAAATCCGGACTTCCCCGCGAAGGGGAAAAAAGGGGCGCGACAGGTGACGACACACACTGCTGGATATTATGATCAGACACCCACGCCACCTACAAGAGCCGTGAGAGGCCAGGGCCAAGTCAGAGGCCGAGGACGGGCACATGGTGTAGCCAAAGCACCTGCCCAAACTGCTACAGAGGAGCCACCAGTAGCTCCAGTTGGGAGGCAGGCACCTGAGACGCCTATAACTACCCCTGCGCTTTAGGAGACTCTCGCCCAGTTTTTGAGCATGTTTGGCACTTTAGCTCAGGAAGGGTTGATTCCACTTGCTCCTGCCACATCTCAAACCGAGGGAGGAGCACATATTCCCATCGCACGTACCCTAGAGCAGCGGGTCCAAGTTGAACAGGTCCTAGAGGTCACACTAGTGCAGCCAGTTGTTCCAGTTTAGCCCGAGGTTAGGGAAGCAGCATCTGAGGGAGAGCAGCTTAGGTTCGAGAGTACAAGAAGTACCACCCTCCTACTTTCAGCGGTTTAGCTTCACAGGATGTATAGAGTTTTCTTGAGGAGTACCACCATATCTTCCGTACTATGAGTATTGTGGAGTCGAGTTGGGTTGCTTTCACTACATCCATCTTAAGGGAGCGGGTTATCAGTAGTGGCGAGCGTATGAGTTGGGTAGCCCGATCGAGGATGCTTCACTCACCCGGGCTCAATTTTTGGAGATGTTCTTGAACGAGTTTGTTCCCTAAAAACTTCGGGATGCATAGCACGTGGAGTTTGAGTAGTTACGCCAGGGTGCTATGACCGTATCGGAGTATGTTGTCAGGTTTAGTGAGTTTTCCATACATGCACCAGCCTTAGTCTCCACAGTCAGGTTGTGAGTCTGTCGATTTATCGAAGGGCTAAACCATGGTATTAGATTCAACATGGCTCGAGAGTTGGATAATGATACCCTATAGTATCAGGTTGTGGAGATCGCTCGGAGATTGGAGGGTATGTGGGGCTGGGAGAGAGAGGGTAGGGAGGCCAAGAGGCCTCGAGATTTTGGCATATATAGTGGTGCTCGTGCCCCAACTGTAGCTTGTCATGGTAGAGGCTATGTGAGTCGTCCCGTTCATTCAGCACTTTCAGCTTCAAGCGGTTTTGAGACCAGAGTTGACTTATTGTTGCTTAGTATGGCAGATTTTGATGTAATTTTTTGCATGGACTGGTTGTCTCCCCATTATGCTATTCTTGATTGTCATGCCAAACGGTGATGTTGGCTATGCCAGGTTTTCCACGGTTGGAGTGGAGGGGTACTTTGGAGTATGTTCTTAGCAGGGTGGTGTCTTTCCTTAAGGCACAGCGGATGGTCGGGAAGGGGTGTGAGGCATATCTAGCTTTTGTGAGAGATGTCAGTATTGAGATGCCTACCGTTGAGTCAGTTCTGGTAGTGAGAGACTATCCAGATGTATTTCCGACGGATCTTCCGGCCATGCCGTCCAATAGGAATATCAATTTTGGTATTGATTTGTTGCTGGTCACTCAGCCTATTTCTATTCCACCATATCGTATGGCCCAAGAAGAGCTAAACGAGTTAAAGGAGCATTAGCAAGAGTTGCTTGATAAGGGCTTCATTCGTCCTAGTGTGTCACCTTGGGGTGCTCCGATCTTTTTTTTAAAGAAGAAAGATAGTATTATGCGCATGCGTATTGATTATCGACAGTTGAATAAGGTTACAGTGAAGAACGTGTATCCATTGTCACGCATTAATGATATATTTGATCAGCTACAGGGTGACAGAGTGTTCTCAAAGATTGGTTTGTGGTCGGGCTATCATCACTTGAAGATTCGGGATCCAGATATTCCTAAGACTACTTTTAAGACTCGGTATGGGCATTACGAGTTCCTTCTGATGTCATTCGGGCTGACCAGCGTCCCAACAACATTTATGCACTTTATGAATAGTGTATTCCAGCCCTATCTTAACTCATTCATCATTGTGTATATTGACGACATCTTAGTATACTCCCGGAGTCGGGAGGATCATGAGCAACACCTGAAGATTGTGCTACAGGCCTTGAGAGAAAAGAAGTTGTATGCAAAAAATTTTAAAGTGTGAATTCTGGCTTGATTCGGTGGCATTTTTGGATCATGTAGTGTCGAGTGAATGGATCAAGGTAGATCCAAAGAAGATTGAAGCAGTGCAGAGTTAGCCAAGATCCTCTTCAGCTACTGAGATTCGGAGTTTTCTTAGTTTGGCAGGGTATTACTGTCGTTTTGTAGAGGGTTTCTCATACAATGTTGCACCTATGACCAGATTTACCCGGAAGGGTGGTCCGTTCAGGTGGACCAAGGAGTGTGAGGAGAGCTTTCAAAAGCTCAAGACTTCTTTGACTACAGCCCCAATATTGGTGTTGCCTATGGGTTCGGGGTCTTACACTATGTATTGTGATGCGTCACGTGTTGGCCTCAACGCGGTGTTGATGCAAGATGGTAGTGTGATTACCTACGCGTCTAGACAACTGAAGGTACATGAGAAGAATTATCATGTTCGCGACCTTAGTTAGCAGCTATTGTTCATGCCCTGAAGATTTGGCGACACTATTTGTATGGTGTCCCTTGTGAGGTCTATACCGACCACCGGAGATGGTTAGTGTTATTTAAGGACATTGATATTACCATTCTATGCCATCCCGAGAAGGCAAATGTGGTGGCTAATGCCTTGAGTCGTAAGGCGGAGAGCTTGGGCAGTTTAGCATATCTACCGGTGGCGGAGAGGCCATTAGCGTAAGATGTTCAGGACTTAGCCAACCAGTTTGTTAGATTGGATGTTCAGAGCCGAGTCGAGTTTTGGCTTACATGGTTTCTCGGTTTTCTCAATATGATCATATTGGAGAGTGTTAGTATGACGACCCCCATTTGCTTGTCCTCAAGGACACGGTTCAGTACGGCGATGCCAAGGAGGTCACTATTGGGGATGACGGTCTATTACGTATGCAAGGCCGGCTATGTGTACCCAATGTAGATGATTCACGCGAGTTGATTCTTTAGGAGGCCCACAGTTTGCGGTGCTCCATTCATCTAGCGTACCACCAAGATGTATCAGGACTTGAGGCAACGCTATTGGTGGAGGAGAATGAATAAGACATAGTGGAGTGTGTAGCTCGGTGCCTAAATTGTCAGCAAGTGAAGTATGAGCATCGACGGCCAGGTGGATTGCTTGAGAGGCTAGATATTCTTGAATGGAAATTGGAGCTTACCATGAATTCAGTTCTTGGGCTCCCACGGGCTCAGAAAAAGTTTGATGCAGTATGTGTGATTGTGGATAGGTTGACCAAGTCGGCTCACTTCATTCCAATGGTGACTACTTAGTCTTCAGAGCAGCTAGCCCAGGTCTATATTCTCGAGATTGTTCAACTTCATGGAATGTTGGTATCCATCATCTCTAACCGGGGTACGCAGTTTACATCGCGATTCTGGAGGGACGTACAGCGTGAGTTAGGCACACGAGTTGAGTTGAGTACAACATTCCACCCTCATACGGACGGATAGTCTGAGCGAACTATTCAGATATTGGAGGATATGCTTCGTGCACGTGCGATGGAGTTCGGTGTTCTTGGTACCAGTTCTTGCCGCTTCCGGAGTTTGCCTACAACAACAGTTACCAGTCAAGCATTCAGATGGCTCCGTATGAGGCCTTGTATGAGAGGCAGTGTCGGTCTCTGGTGGGTTGGTTTGAGACAGGTGAGGCTAGGCTATCGGGTACAGACTTGGTTCAGGATGCTTTAGAAAAGGTTAAATTGATTCAAGATCGACTTTGTATAGCCCAATCTAGACAAAAGAGTTATGTGGATCAGAAGGTTTGCGATGTTGTATTCATGGTTGGGGAGCGGGTCTTGCTCCCATGAAGGGTGTTATGAAGGTTCGCGATGTTGTATTCATGGTTGGGGAGCGGGTCTTGCTCCCATGAAAGGTGTTATGAGGTTCGGAGAAAAGGGCAAATTGAGCCCTAGGTATATTAGGCCTTTTGAGATTCTTGACAGGATTGGTGAGGTGGCCTACAAGCTTGCACTTCCACCTAGTCTAGCTGCATTTCATCTAGTATTCCATGTTTCTATGCTTCGAAAATATCACGGTGATCCGTCTTACGTGTTGGATTTCAGCTCAGTCCAGTTGGACAAGGATTTGTCTTATGTTGAGGATCTTGGGCCATTTCGGATAGGTAGGTCTGAAAGTTGCGGTCGAAGAATATTACTTCAGTGAAGGTTCAGTAGAGGGGTGAACCAATCGAGGAGGCAACTTGGGAGACCGAGAATGATATGCATAGCGGTTATACTCAACTTTTCACCACTTTAGGTATGTCTGTCTCTATACTCGTTCGAGGAAGAACGTTTGTTTTAAGATCTAGCAAGTCATTTTGAGTATTTTAGTCCCAATCCCCTATTTATTGCCTCCTCTATGTTATATTATGGTTATGTGATTTGCCGGGGGTATTTGGGGTTTTGTTTTTTGGTGAGTACCGGAGTGAAATGCGACACATAGTCCCTAAGTTGGAGCTTTAAGTTGAAAGAGTTGATTGCAGTTTGACTTTTCTGACGACTCCGGAATGGATTTTTGACGGTTCCAATAGCTCCGTATGAACTTAGGAGCGTGTTCGAATGTTGATTTGGAGGTCCGTAGGTCGTTTCGGCTAGAATTGGCGAAAGTTAGAAATTGGAAGTTTGGAAAGTTGGAAAGTTTGACCAGGAGTTAACTTTATTGATATCGGGATCGGATTCCTATTCCGAAAGTTGAAATAGGCGTGTCATGTCATTTATGACTTGTGTGCAAAATTTGAAATCAAACGGAATTATTTTGGTATAAGTGGGCATTAGTTTTGGAATTTAGATTTTATAGTTTCAATAGGCTTGAATTGGGTTGCGATTCATTGAATCGATGTTATTTGATGTGATTTTTGGCCTCTTGTAGGTTCGTTATGTATTTTGAAACTTGTTGGTATATTCGGACCGGGTCCCGTTGGCCACGGGTGTGATTCAGATTAAATTCGGAACCAAATTGTACTTAGTCATTAGGTCTGAAGCTGCTGGTTTTTCTGTTCTGGTTTCCTTCTACGCGTTCGCGAAGGTTCTCCCACAATCGAATAGTCTTAGGGCTGCTGAGATTTTTCCCTTCGCGTTCGCGAAGGTGAGGGCGAGATCGCAAAGTTTTCTATGCTTCTTCATCGCGAACGCGGGAGGTATACCGTGTTTGCATATAAGGAAGGTGAGGCTGGGGGCTGAGGCACGCTTGTGCATCGCGTTTGCGTGACCTGGGACACGGTCGCTTGGGTAGAGGAAGCTTGTTAATTGCGTTCGCGACTGGATTCACGCGATTGCAAAAAGTGTTTTATTGAGATGGGGAGAATAGTTCTACGCGATCGCGAGTCTTCGTCCACGATCGCGATATAGGATGACTGGGCAGCAATAATAAAATTTCAAAATGCGGGTTTCATCTCATTTTTTATTTTTGGACCTAAAGAGCTCGGTTTGTGGCAATATTTCGTGCGTTTTTCAAGAAATTCATCGGGTTAAGTGATTCTAACTCAGTTTTGGCTATATTACACGAATGCATTGTTATTTTTATCATTTAATTAGTAATTTGAGTTGGAAATTTGGGAAAATTATGAAAACTTCTTAGGCTAAATTTAGGGTTTTGAAAGACGATTTGAGGTCGGATTTGAGTAATTATTGTATGGTTGGACTCGTTATTGAATGAGTGTTCAGATTTTGTAATTTTGGTCGGGTTTCGAGATGCGGGCTCGGGGTTAATTTTTGTGTTGACTTTTTATTTCTCTTTAAATATCGTAATTTTATTGTTCGAAATAGTTTCCTATAGTTTATAATTATGGTATGAAGTTGTTTTGGCAAGATTCAAGCTGTTCAGAGTTGGATAATCAGGGGAAAGGCTTACTAGCGGATTGAGTTAGCGTATTTTGAGGTTAGTGTCTTGTCTTTTGTGTGGGGGAATTATCCCTTAGGATTGGTGTTGGTTTGTGTTAATTGTGATATGTGAAAGCCATGTACGCAAGGTGATGAATGTGTATACGGTCTAAATGTGGAAATTGATCGGTTTTAGCTATGTAGAATTTTTTTGATGCCTTAATTGAGTTACTATAACATGTTATGTTCATTATTATTAGTCTATGTTCACATGCCCTACTTGTCTTATCTCTTACTTGTTAATTGTATTTACATGTTTAGTTGAAGTATTGTTTCATCCATTCCTTATTCATTATTTAACCGTTGAGTTCTTCACTTGAGGTTGTTATTTTTGAAATATCTTGTTATTGAAATTGGTATGGAGGTATGAAGGCCGTGATTTACATTGAGTCAAAGTTGTAAAGGGTTGAAATACTATTCTTGTTGAGTTATTCACCTTCGGTTTATTGTTGAGACTCTTGTGCATATTATAGTTGAGCCATGGGCCATTTGTTGTGAAAACACTATTGTTGTTCGTTTCTTGGCAAGTTCTGATATTAGGCACTCGAGGTGCGATTTGTGATACGTTGTAATATTGATACGCATGCGCTGGTATAAGGATTTGGGATTGAAACGCATACGGTGAGATAAGGTGGGCTTAATACGCGTGTTGCTAGTAGGGGAACTACTTGAAGCCACGCAGTGTGATAAGGTGGGCTAAAATATGGGAAGCTATTTTAGGAAAAATGATTTTCAAAACAAAATGCAAGGCTCCCACGGCGATATAAGGAAAGATTGTGAAATGGTTTGTGATTTGAGACTACGAGGCGGTACCTCGATGGTGACTCTTGTTGATGCTTTTCTATTACATCACCTGTGTTTTGGTTGCTTTGTTTCCTTGGCATAACATTCCTTGTTTTTCTTCCGTGATGCATTATTTTCCTTAGTTCAGTGTAGCAAATCTCAATGTATTTCTTTATTGTGTCATTTCTATTGTTATCATTATTTCACAGTCACATACATGTTCAATTTCTTATTTATTCCAGTAGGGCCTTGACCTGACCTCGTCACTACTCCACCATGGTTAGACTTGGCATTTACTGGGTACCGTTGTGGTTTACTCATGTTACGCTTCTACACATCTTTTTGTGCAGATCCAGGTACCTCCTACTGCTCCAGGCACCAGTGAGACGATCTCACTTTGGAGACTTCAAGGTACATATGTCGGCGTCCGCTGGCCTCGGAGTTACCCTCTATCTAGTCTGTTTTCTTTTCTTATCCTTTTATAGACACTGATGTTTGAGGATGTTCATTACCATCTTAAAGAGCATGTGACTTGTATTCGCTTTGGAAATTGTATACGTTCAGTTAGGAAGTTTCTTTATATGATAGTGGTTGAGTTATTTGAAGGTTCTTAATAAAATTTCAGTTAATATTGTATGTATGTTAGGCTTACCTAGTCTTAGAGACTATGTGCCATCAAGACATCCTACGGAGAAAAATTGGGGTCGTGACAATTTATCACAAATAAATATACTCTAAAATAATTATAATACATAGCTACATTTGAGTTTTATAGCAAATACCCTCTCAAAGGGATTTCGAACCCTAAAATAACATTTTCCTCTCTTATATTTTCATATTCTTACTATAGCCTAGCCGCATACATCATCTCCCTTAAACTCTTTCTCTGGTGTTACCATCTCGCCGGAGAACCATCACCGGCCTTACTTGTCGGAACACTGTCGTCCAACCTCGTTTTAAGTTTTTTTTTCCTCCTTTGTACTCTGTCATTCCCCCACGCGCTATGAAAACCTCAAATACTTAGAAAACAAATTCCATGGTCGTTCTTTCTTAGTCAACCATGTTACCACCAAGAAAATCTTACAATTCAGTTGACAATTCTGCTTCCTCTTGTCATCAATCCCTAAAACCAAAAACACAACTCCAAAAAATTTCTCTCGTACTAAAAAAACATGGCTGCTTTGTTGTCTTCCCTTTTCTCTTTGTACAAGTCTTCCCTTTTCTATAGTCTTTGCTGTCTTAATTGCCATTATCTCAGCATAGATCTGATCCACTCAGATCCGATATAATCCTCGTCCCACCATACCCTTTGACAAATTCGGGATCACTATTTCGTCTCAACCTCATTGTCTCCGACATCTCCTACTCTGACCCGAAATCCAGACACGAACCCGTTCCCTCCTAATTGGGTTTCTTTCTCGACACCAATGAAGCTTACCAACTTCTTTCAGTTTCTTTGATGCAAATCTGAGTCGGACTTCACTTTTTTCTTCGTATGTATATACATTGTATTTCGTTGTATCAGAGAGAAAATGCAATTTCTTGAGCGAGCAACCTATTGTGATTGTATGGACTGATACACCAAAATTTGAGTCTATCTTCTTTTTCATCTTTGGATGTATCCACACTCTATTTCATTTTATAGAGAAAATACAATATGTTGAGCGAGCACATACAGTCAATCATGATTGTATGCGTTGATATATAAAAATCTGAGTTTAGATGTATATATCCCTCATTGTATGGATCATATATGTATTGTGTATTTTTTAATGCAAATACATTTTATTTTATTTCTGTAATTTTGCATGTATTTATGTATTCCGAAGGTGATTGTTTTTAGCAGATCCCTGTATTTTTGAATTTTATTGTTTGAATACAACCAAATTAAATATAGTGAATTGAATCCAGTCGTATATCACTATATTTTTTATTTTTTGATGTTTGAATACAGTCAAACTAGATATAGTAAAATTGAATACGATGTAAAATAGTTAAGAATGAATTTAGCCAAGTTGAATACAGTGTATACATCCGAATGGAATACAACGACATACATCATATGGCATTAGTAGTGTAACTACCCGGTCGGTCATTTTGAGAATTTGCACTTTGCTCGATAGTTTACGGGCATGAGTAGCTCTGTATGATGTATTACGAGTTATGTGAATCGTCGATTTTGGTTTTTAGGTTATTCAGAATCGATTCGGAAGAATGAATTTCATGGTTTAAGCTTTAGGTTGGAAAAGTTGACCAAGTTTGACTTTTTAGTATTTGACCTCGAATTGGAGTTTTAATGGTTCTGTTAGGTCCGGATGGTAATTTTGGACTCGGGCGTATGCCCGAATTTGCATTTGGATGTTTCTAGAAGGTTTCAGCACAAATTGGCGAAATTTAGAAATTTGAAGGCTTGGAAAGTACATAAATTTGACCGGAAGTTGACTTTGATGATATCATATTCAGATTCAGATTTTGGTTCTGGGAATTGGAATTGCTACGCTATATCATTTGAGACTTGTGTGCAAAATTTAGGTTTATTCCGGGTTAATTTGATATGTCTCGGGGCGAGTTTTTGGAAGTGAAAGTTCAAGTTCATCAAGTTCATTTTGAGGTGTGATTCGTCGTTTCGATGTTGTTATGTGTGATTTGAGGCCTCGAGTAGGTCCGTATTGTGTATCGGCACTTGTTGGGATGTTCGGACGGGGACCCGAGGGGCTCGGACGTGTTTCGGATTAATTTCGGACTATTTTTCTTCATTTTTGCATTGTTAGTTCTGCCGAGTTCTGGGCATCTTGTTTTATTAATCGCGATCGTGGAGTATGGACTGTGATCGTGTAAGGCTGTTTGATGGCTGGGGAAAAGTTGTTCTTCGCGTTCGCGAGTTCTCAAACGCGTTCGCGTAGGTTGTTGCGGAGTGAGCATCGTGTTCGTGCCAGTGTGCACGCATTCGCGTAGGGATTTTTGTGTTGAGCTGGCAAAGACTGTTTCTCTTCACGTTCACGGTCTTGTTTCAGCGATGGCATAGTTTGTGAGCTTTGTGTACAGCGTTCGCGTGGCTTTATACGCGACTGCATAGGGTATTTTTCTGGGGCAGTATTTTTCCTTCTTCGCGATCACGATGATATTTCCGCGATCGTTTTTGTCACGATCCGGATTTCCCACTCTCGGGAGTCGTGATCGCGCCTACTAATGAAAGCTAGGCAAGCCAACTGTTTGGACCAATTATCTTTTCCCATTTTTAATCCTTTAACAATTACGAAACAATAAATTATAAACAGCGGAATTTTAAACAAGCGGAAGAAACGATAAAGCATTTGAATAAATATCCAGTACAGCATCTACCCAGAACTGGTGCCACGCTTCACAGACAGTCTAGAATTTACTACAAACAAGGTCTGAAAGATGAATAATACACTGTTTCTAAAATATGTAAATGAAACAGGATAAAGGGATAAAGGGAGACGCCAGGGCCTGCGGACGCCTGCAGGACTACCTCGGAATCTCCGACTGGACAGAAGGCAGCCACACAAGCTAAGGTCTGAATGATGTTGCTCCGGGATCTGCACACAGTGCAGAGTGTAGTATCCGCACAATCGACCCTATGTGCTGGTAAGTGTCTAGCCTAACCCCGGTGACGAGGCTAGGACCAGACTACCAAAAAAAACCTGTGCAGTTATATCATATACAACGGAAAACCGAAACAGAAATATACAATTAAGGATGGGAGGGGGACATGCTGCGGAGAAATATCATCTACCAACAGTAACTCAGGAGAAAAACATAACAAACAATTTAAAATGTTGCAACAGAAAAAATAAGGAAAGCCGTAACCAATCAATAACCACTTTTATCATTTATTGTTGCGGTGTGCAACCCGATTCAAATATAATATTGTTGCGGCGTGCAACCCGATCCAAATATAATATTATTGCAGCGTGCAACCCAATCCGAATATAATATTGTTGCGGCGTGCAACCCGATCCAAATATACCATTCAACACCACTCACAAAAAGAGTCCCGGCAAGGGAACAATAAGGTAACAACACTATCCCGGCAAGGGAATCGACAATATAAGTAAATACGTCCCGGCAAGGGAGTCAGCTATAACCAAACTTGTCCCAACAATTAACTTCACAACAAAAAAGAACCTCAACTAGCACCAATACTCAACCATAAGCAACTTCTACGAGAATAATCATGATTCTTGCCCAACACAGAAAATCAGCAACTTAGGCATTCGTTTTACTTATTAAGAACACAACGATTTCCAATTTAAGACTCACGGGCATGCTTGACACCAACGTATAGATACTCGTCGCCATGCCTATACGTCATACTCAACAAATAACACATAGCAAATAGGACACAACTCCTAATCCCCCAAGCTAAGGTTAGACCAAACACTTACCTCGAACTTCCACGGCCAACTCAAGCCTCAAACACCGCTTTTCCTTTAGAATTCGCCTCCGAATTACTTGTATCTAATTCAAATTAATTTAACAACATCAATAAATTCTAAATAATCCAATCCCAAGGCTAAATTATAGGTTTTCTATTATTTTTCCCAAAAAGTCAAAAATCGACACCGGCCCCGCTTGGTCGAAACTCGAGGTTCGGATCAAAACTCGATCACCCATTCACCCACGAGCCCGAACATGTAATTAGTTTCAAAATCCGACCCCAAAACGAGGTCTAAATCCCAATTAATCAAAAAGCCCTAACTCTACCCAATTTCCTAATTTCTACCATAAAAACCCTAGAATTTAAGATGAAAATTGATGAAATGTAATGGGAAATCGAAAGAGAAAGGTTTAGAGTCATATACCAATATTTTGGGGAAGAAATTGTTCTTTGAAAATCGCCTCAATGCTCCCAAATTTCGAAAATATGAAGTAAATGGGTTCTGCCCGTTTTTGCTTCTGTTTTAAAATCACTGGGCAGACCTTCATCGCGTTCGCGATGGATCAGGCCCAATGGCCATCGTGTTCGCATTCAAGAGCTCGCATTCGCGGAGCTTCAGCCCTTCGAGCCTTCGCGTTCGCGGTCAGGTGGCCGTGTTCACGTAGAGTAAAATCCCTCTCCCCCTGCCCAGGCCCAAAGGCCTTCGCGTTCGCGATAGTAGGTCCCCGTTCGCGAAGGGAAGCACCCCCAAAGCTTCGCGCTCGCGTCCTGTTTCTCGCGTTCGCGTAGTAGGAAAATTCCTTCAGCCTGACGTACCCTTCGCGCTCGCGTGAGTCCTTCCGTGAACGCGAAGAACAAAGCTCCAGAACACCAGAAACTGAAAACCTGCAACTTTTTCTAAGTTTAAAACCTTCCGAAACCTATCCGAAACTTACCCGAGCCCTCAGGGCTCCAAACCAAACATGCATACTAACTCAAAACTTCATGTGAACTTATCCGTGCGATCAAATCGCCAAAATAAAATATTAAACGACGAATTTAGCATAGAAATCTAAGAAAAACTTCAAAACTTTCATAGTATCAATTTTCACAACTACGGGTCCGAATCACATCAAACGACTTTCGTTTCTTACCAAATTTCACAGGCTCGACTTAAACCACATATAAGACCTGTACCGGGCTCCGGAACCAAAATACGGGCCCGATACTAATAACTTCCAAACATTTTTCATTTCTAAAACTCACATATTTTTCCAGAAAATAATTTTCTTTAAAAATTCATTTCTTGGGCTTGGGACCTCGGAATTCGATTCCGGGCATGCGCCCAAGTCCGATATTTTCCTACGGACCCTCCGGGACCGTCAAATCACGGGTCCGGATCCGTTTACCCAAAATGTTGACCGAAGTCAACTTAAATTCATTTTAAAGGCAAATTTTATTATTTTTCACAGATTTTCACATAATGGCTTTCCGGCTACGCGCCCGGACTGCGCACGCAAATCGAGGTGATGCAGAAAGAGGTTTTTAAGGCCTCGAAACACAGAATTTATTACTAAAATAAGTGATGACCTTTTGGGTCATCACTGTGAGCACGTGATTTTTGCCCTATATATGAATTATTCCCAAAAATTCAAACAAAATAATTTTTCTTTCATTATTTTACACTTTTGTGAATTTTGTGTTATTTTCTGTTAATTGTTTGCATTTTATTTGTGCATTTAAATTCATATGAAAAATATAAAAATATACACATGACATTTGCATTTAGGATCTAATTTCATATTTTAGGATTATTTAGTGGTTAAGTTGTTTTTGGAATAAAATTTAAAGAAAATAACAAAAATAGTCCATTTTTGCATTTTTAATTGTTAATTGTTGAATTTGTCATGGGTTTGCTTTTAAATAGGATTTAATAGATTTTTAGGAATTAATTAGTTCAATTTTGGAAACAAATTAGGTCTTTGATTTTGCATTTTAATAAAGTTAGAAAAACATAAAAATAC